CGCTTCGCTAGGGGACGGCAACAGGTGACATTGGAGCACTGCTTAATAATGGAACGGCAACTTCTCCAACTTCCGCTGCTTGCGAAACCGCCGCAGACCCATCAACGGGCCTCTTCCGAAATTCCTTCTCGAGAGCACGAGCGACTCACGGCCAAGCCTCTCCAGTAGTAGCAAAATCCACCCGGCCCGTCAAGATCGAACTCTTTCCATGAGTTAAGATTACCTGAGGAGAGAAAGTCCATAAAAAGTTGCTTGTTTTGAAAATAGGAAATTCTCGAAAAACCGTGTCTTCGCCCGGTGTCCTATCCTATGTTGCCATGTCTGTACGAGCAGACTCCAATGTGGCTAACTTGTGCTGGGCCTTGAAGTGAGTAGCCTTTCTCAGCGTCTGTCGAGTGGTGTATTCATTTGAGCGGATGAGGGGCTTAGTGGTCATTTTCGAGGCTGGAATAAAAATCTGAGCTCGGACTGTCAATGAAGAATCCGACAGGATGTGGGCTACTCTTTTGTTGTTCTGAGCAGTCAAGGATCGTGGATGGAGCGGAGTGTGTGCTGAGTATAATTATCAGGGTGCCAGATAAATCTTCGAATGCATTAAGGAGAACGACCAAGTTATCGTGCGATTTCTAGATTGGAACGTTCATTATCATGCAGAACCTTGATCTGAGCTTGCTCATCTTCAGGAAGAAGTATGGCGCGAATTGACATGATGACGAAATGAAAACAGCAAAGTCGGATTGAAATCGGTGGAAAATTCGGCGCCAAAATCTGATCTTCTTCAAGTGTGCACATACTTTTGAAACAAAGAAAAAAATTTCATCCAAAAATTTTTTCCGAAAGTGAGGCGATATTATCTGCTTTGCTTCCATTGATAGGTTATCGACTACGAGAAATCGATTGAGAAGGATTTCATAGCACGAAACCTCATGGTTCCCTTTCAAACGTGAATTTTGAGGGTGTGCACATACTTTTGAAACGCACTGTAGTACAAGTTTTGGGGAATGGCTTTTTACACTACCTCCAGTAATTGGTAAATAAAGAAACTAAGGAACTTCGATGTCCGCACAGCGATCGCTCGTGCTTTCAGGGTACGACTTCAACGAAGCGATGTAACGATTGACAGTAGTAAATTTATATACCTTTGAACCCGCAATGTATCCGCCTGCAGCGCCGAAGCTTTTCGTAAACGTGCCCATCAGTATGTCAACGTCCATTGGGTTGCATCCCCAGTACTCGACCACACCTCTACCAGTTGGCCCCATCGCACCTAAATCAAAAAGCACGTAATTTTTATCACCGCATCACTCCCTACTGCAGATTCTTGATCAATCAACACCTTTTAGCTGCTGGGTTTTTCAATTCTTCCTGCCATTACCTAAGGCAGAACTCGAAAAAAAAATGGCAAACCTATTGAATGCGCTTCATCCAGGTACAAATAAGCGCCATACTTCTTTTTCAAGGCGATCACTCCAGGAAGATTACAAATAGAACCTTCCATTGAGTAAATACCTGAAATTACAACATATCATCTTCTTGGATCTAGCCTTTATCCCTTGGCGTTAGGATCACGGTGGCACAATGGGAGCTGCTCCACCTTTTTTAAATGAATTTTTAGCATTTCGGGTTGAGATTAATGAGCTCAGAACGTACCTTCGACGATGATTAGGATTTTCTTATATGGCCGATGTGTTTTGGGATTTCCGTAGGCAATCGCGTCACGCAGAATTTTCTCCAGCGAATTCATATCTATAAAACAAAATCTCATTTTTTTTTCATTACAACAGTATTTAAACCTTCAACTACTTGCGGATTTCTTGTGCCTTTTCTTTTATTTCAGGTTTGTTTATACAACTTCTCTATACATGCGCTCACTCCTGCTCCCTACTGATGAGCACGGAGTTGAGGCATCTCCGTGACTTCTGCTATGTTCTTGCAAAACGGAAGCACAACTAACTACTATTCCGTTCAACTCATGTTTTGCAACTGACGTCTCTGTTCCGCGTTTCAGGGTGAGAGGGGTAAACCGGCGGCCTGGCGCACCACCCACGAACGGGCATCGCCAACATTACGTTCACGACAGCGGACCTCATTGTTCAAAATTCTGCGACCGAGCGGCAGCTGTGGTGTATTCATCATCCCCTTGCAAACCGTACACAATGATGTCAGCATTACCAAATGTAATATTCAGTTCGGCGAAGCTCACGATCGGTAGGCCCACATTAAATCGAAAGCTGAGCTAGGGTGAAATGGTGCCCCGGTATGTAGGTGGTAGCATAGAGTTGTTAAGTTGTCGCAAGAGAAGCGAGCTCGAATTCTACGTGGTGTCGAAGCGATGCTCAATACTCAGCGTTTTGTCACAATTGAGTAACTGTGTATCCTTCAGAGTGCGTGTGCAGGATGACACGGTATGTTCAGTCCAACTCACCATTGTGCGCGAAGACCTTCGTCGATGCGCCCGGATAAGGCGACATCCAAGAATGAGAGACGCATGATTGTGTTGATCGGAAACGATTAAAGAGTGCTGAAATCACTATGATTCATCACTTTTTTATCAGTCACAGTACCGCCATTTAAGTGTTGAACTGATAAGTAGTTCAACACCTAAAGCGGCGGCGTTGTGACTGATAAGAGAGCGATGTGGGAGAGTCCTCGTAGTACCTTGTCGACCAGACACGGAGCATTCATTGAGTTCGTTGCAAAACCCATACTGAAAACAATTGCGTCTTCGACACCGAAGGAATTCAGCGACAAGCTTCTCAAGTTCGTACTGAGATGTGGAGCCACCTGAAAAACCATCATTGATACTCAATGTACATGTCTTTCCGCAATCTGTAACAAATCAATGACGCTTTCTCTTCACGAATAGCAAGTTGTACCAGTGAAGCTCATTGTCAGACAGGGAAGAGTCTACTGGGTAGTTATTAGACCTGGTAACACCTTCCCTGAAGTTAGACTCTGAATACACAAGCGTCATAATGGCATTCTCTTCTGCCATCAAAATACAAATAAATAAATACATTCTCGGGTTTGATGTGGAACAGCCACTTTGAGATGTCGCAAGGTGAATGAAGCCGTATTTCTCGGGACAAGTCGGAAGGAAAGGAATGCAGCCATAAGGTTTTGGTTTTGCCGGGTAAGTTTTTACATAGATGCAAACTTTGTTATTGGCCCGACGCTACGATGAGATTGTCCTCCGCAAAGGCTAAGTACACCACAAAAGCAAAACGTCGCCACTCAGGTCGGTATGATTAGTTACTCATTGTTAGTTACTGAGTGAGTGACTCACCTGGAGTAACCTGACTTAGAATGGCATGAAGAACATCCTACTTACTATAAAGCGCTGTCTGTCGTCTGTCGTCTGTATGTCTGTCACGAAATTCCCTAGCTCCTGGGGATCCGCCTGGAGAGACCGGGTCAAGTGTGGGATGGGTGGGCAGGTCTCGAGAAGTACAAAACACACATCAGCTAAGCGGAGCCCCGCCCACAGTGGGCGTGGCGTGCATCGAAATGAGTTGTACTGACGACCAAGATTTCAATACTATACCAAAACAGCCTCGAAACTGGGGAAAAAGTGGGTAAAGGTGTGCATTGGTAAGTCACATCGAATTAGGGAGACCCACCCCCGGTGGGCGGGGCGTTCTCCAAAAAAGCAGTGCTTTATGAAAAATTTCATAACTCGGTTGGGAGAAAGCCTACAGAGCAGAAAACAAATTGGTGTAGGGAGCAATGTCTAAGGTGTTCCCAGCATACATGACGTGGGCGGAGGCCGCCCACAATGGGCGGAGCGCGCTCTGAAGTGTACAGCGTTTTCTACAAGTCCTCATAATTCGGGCCGGAGAAGTCTTAGTGAGCCGGAAAAAGGTGGATAGAGGTGGGCGGGACATAACCAAAATGGGCGGAAATTCATAACTCGGCTCCAAGAAGTCCCGGAGGCTGGGAAAAAGGTGGATAGAGGTGGGTGGAGGAGTGGAGCTTAATATTGGTGGGCGGGGCATGTCCAAAGTGGGCGGAGTTACGACGAAAATTCATAACTCGGTTCCAAGAAGTCCTGGAGAACGGGAAAAAGTGGATAGAGGTCAGCAAAGAAAGAGAAGTTAACTGCTACGGGTGGGTGGAGCGTGCGCCAATGTGGGCGGAGTTTGCGCCGAAATTGTAATTCGGCTCCAAGAAGTCCCGGAGGCTGGGAAAAAGGGTAGAGGTCGGCGAAGGAAAGGAAGTCAACTGCTATGGTGGGCGGGGCATGCACCAAAGTGGGCGGAGTTATCCACGAAAATTATAACTCGGTCCAAGAAGTCCTGGAGATGGGAAAAAAGTGGATAGAGGTCAGCGAAGGAAAGAGGTCAACTGCTATTAGTGGGTAGAGCACGCACCTAAGTGGGCGGAGTTTGCCAAAAGTGTCGTAATTTGGTTCCAGAGACCGGTGAAAAAGGGGGTAGAGGTCGGCGAAAGGAAGGGGGCCAAATGCTATTGGTGGGCGGGGCACGCACCGAAGTAGGCGGAGTTTGCCACGAGATTTATTGTCCGGAAGCAGTCCGGAGACCGAGAAAAAGAGGATAATGGTTGACGAAGAAAAAGAGGTTGAAAGCCGTCGATGATGGAGCGGATAGAATTTAGCTGAGAATTCAGATATTCGTGGTGTATCAAGCCAAATTTGAAAATTTTCGCCGCAGATCTGTGTTGTGCGCGCAATGCGTGCGGCGCCAACTGGTATGATATGATAGCTACAACGATGCCGAGTTCCAACGAATAGAGAAGTTGGGGATTGCAGAGAGGATTGCATTTGAATCAGTGGAAGGTGAGTGGGATGGATGCGGACATACCGCCGTGCAGTGTTCAGAGGCGCTGACTATGGCGAGGTAGCACAAATAATAGTATAATTGAAACTCTTTCAGAGCCACTTGTATTTATGGGATCTGCCCAAAATATTGTTTTTTTTTTGTTACACAGGCTAGCCTATGTTGCTGGACTAAACGCTCTCACAAATGTTTCGGTGGTTCTATCTAGAATTTATGGCACATCGCATTAAAGTGAGCTTGATCTTCAAAAAGATCCTCTCAATGAGATTGAATTGTTCAGAAACGGTAACTGTAACACAGGCGCCTCTGTGACACAAGCAGTGCTGTCCCAGTGATTCTCATCACGGTCCATATCTCGAAGTCTGATTAGGCGGAGCTACAGACTTGGCGTAGAACTTGCCCCACTTGACAGTCGTCGCGCAGTATTTCCACCTCATTCTGCAGACTCCACTATTTACCGGGAATCGCAGCACTATTTGATAAATATTTGAATTTGCTGAACATGGTAGGTATCGATTTATAGGTCGAGTTTTCTTAGCGGCAACTGTTAGACAAGCATCCTCCTTACCTCTCTCATGCACTGTTGTACATGTAGCCAGACCTTCTTTGTCAATCTGAGCAACCGCCGCATCAGCACACGGACCACTGGCCTGCGCGAACCCGAGATAGTTGTACGGAACTAACGTTGATTACATTAGTTTGAGATCCTGGGTATCTGCAAATCATTCGGTAATTTTGGTCTGGACACTACCAACTTGACGAGTACAATAATTAAAAGCCGAGAAAACCTACTTATAGGTCCAGTTACAGTCGTCAGAGGTCCTGTCAATGAGATTTACGGTGGCTCCCGGCACGGAACCGAATCGGTCGCTTCGAACACATCCCGAACTCGCACGTAGCAGTTTCGCGAATATACAGATTCGAAATCTGCGAATAGCGGCACGAAATCCTTAAAGGACGAATTCACGATGAAAAAGCAACCCATTTCAAATTAACCTAGGGATGGTGAGTGGTACACGAAAGAAGGAAGAACCATGAGAAACGGCCCAGAACCCGAGAAATGGGACCCCTTCCTTGCCCGTTGATTTGCATTGATGCGACTCTCATCGCTGTGCCCTCTTCAACACTACGCTCTCTCTGCTATCTAATCACTCGCCACGTATAGACCTGCGAGTGATTAGATAGTCGGTGGGCGTACCCCGCCAACCGCGCCAAGAGTGAGCCATGCTAGATCGCCGAGGTCAAATCTTTCGCTGCCAATTGCGCGTCGGTCAGCACCCTCAGGAGGTCCGCCTGTCTCCCAACTATGCAATTTTCCCTTCTTTGACCTTCGTTCTTATCGTGAACTTCTCCTTTGAAGTTGTTTTATAATAGTTGCACTAGGTCGGCTGAGAGGCTGCATTTACAAGGGTTGGCTCCTTCTCTAGCATCCATCCCCCTCACAAGGATTAGTCACACATAGAACAACAACATATAACGAAAGTACCTTTTGTTTATCAAGTTCCTTGCTGGCTCTTATCGTTTTCAAGTCCCCATTTACCGTAGAAGCTTCTCGAATATAAGGCGAATATGAGTAGCACGATCCATGAGAAGTAGACAATAAGTTTAGAAAAGCGGCTTAGCTGAAGATGAGAACTTCTGAACTTCTCTTCTTCACCACACAGCCATATGGTATGGTGATATGGTGTATCAGAGACCATTTCGTATCTTTTCATCTAGTTACGTTCCTGACGCGGCAGCGCTAGTAGTAGGAAGATCACTCACATGTTCAAATTCATTGGGTGCCCTATCGGTGACCTTTGCCGTAAATGTCTCGCTCTTTCTCGTCTTCGAGTGTGAAGTCAGCTGGTTTCGGGATCTTAAACAAGCCGCATAATGACTATTGACAAAATTTAGCATAGAACAAATATGAACCTGCTTTTTGGTCCTACGTCCTACTTGGTGACAT